CCGCCTTCACATATGTAGGTCAATCTTTTTTTTTCTCTCTCCTTCTTTTCTGTCTCTCTCTATTCTTCTTTTCTATACATGATATCACCTATTGTATTCTTTGTTATTGCAATATCGAGATATTATTTTTCTTTGTTCATATGATATCATGTATTCTTGCTGTCCATGTCTTTCTTTTCTCTCTCTCTATATATATGCGTGTTTACCTCTTTATCCTTGGTTATTCTTCTATCTTTTTTTTTGTTAAATAAAAGATCTGAACCCTATATTCACTTTTATCTTGTTATCGAAATTCAATCAGATGATGCTCCCCTAACATTTTGGTGCCGTGACCGATCGTTTTATTATTTTACAATAATAAAATACGAACCAAGACGAAAGCGAGTAAGTGAATAACTCTTTCATTATTCATTTAAAGATAGAGATAGTTTCCTCGGGAACTGTCTGCTCGAATATTAGTTGATACTGAAGAGGTAGTTCTATCAGGAACTGCCTATTTGAACCTCAACTAATACAAAAAGAGATAGTTCCATTAGGAATTGTCTGTGAGGATCGGTAAGAATACAATCGAATTAATCCTAGTGTATGTGCATACCGGTCACAAGTGAATTCAATTTAATATTGCTAATCATTAAAATTATAAATTACGGCTTACAATCTACGAAGTGCCGATCTCAACCCGGAATTAACTGGTGATCTATTAACAGAAACATCTGAACGAATAGTAAAAAAGCATATTCGAGAATTTTTAAATAATATTACACAACACGTTCAAACAATGCCTGACAACGCACAAGATCCAGCAATGATGATATGTTATCGCGAATGTTTATCTAATTTAGAAAAATTCAACGGTATTGGAGAACAAAAAGCTGTACAATTTATCAATAACATCGAACGAATTGGGAAAATGATTGATGCAAATAATAATATTTTATATTGTATGTGCACGGCCAAATTAGATGGTGAAGCCAAGCGCTGGTATGAAAACAATATGGCATTAACCCAATGTGAAAATCTGAAATCAGCATTTTTGGAAAGATTCACAACAGCCGATGCATCATCAAGAATATTTGAACAATTAAAAGAACGTAAACAAAAACCAGATGAAATAGTTACATCGTATTATGATGCGATTATTAAATTAGGTCATGAATATGATACAAATATGTCTGAAAAAATGATGATATCATGGCTTGAGAATGGAATTAAAGATTCATTAAAAATTCAAATTAAACGTCAAATGAAATCGTTACCAGAATCAGCACGAACCACACAAACATTTTTAAAAATTGCAAAAGATGAACAGGAATTACAGAAAGAAAATATTCATGAACCTGAACCAACATCAGCATACATGCCATATTTTACAAATACAGTATCAACAACATTACGACAAGAGGAAAATATACATACAAACGCTGTGGGACAACCGTATTCTCCACAAACAACTGCACCACATGAATCCAAAATTATACATCAACAACGAACAAAATTCAATGAAACACATCGATCGCAACCACGAACTCGTCAATCACCATCACAACAACATTTATCTACATCGAGACCACAATCATCAACATTTCATCGCAATACACAACAAATTAAATCAAAAAATGTTACAGCAACTGGTTCATTAAATATTAAAACGCGTCAAACAAATACTTGCTCCATTTGCTAATGAAACAACCACCGTACAATTGATTGTTATTATAAATAAATGTGAAAACCTCGGATTTAAATCCGAGAGTTATGTGTA